AACATCAAACTCCTGCAAAGAAAATCTAGATGTAGTTTCCCTGATCAGTTTCTAGAGCTTTAAATGTTAGATTGTAAGTTTAAAGTGACCAATTACAGAAATTACTGGAAAAAAGTTTCTGTTTGCAGCAGGTAGCATTTCTTCCCAAATGAGATGCCTTATGAGATGCTTTAATTTAGTGTAGATCTATTTTCTTATATGTGCAATTTTTCCTGCTACTGGAAATACAATTTCCCGAAGGGAGTAATACCAAGGGATTAATAAAGTCAAGTCTAAGTCTAAGTCTAAGTCTAAGATATAGTCTCAGTGGTTGGAGCAAACAAGCAGTCTGAGAAGAGCCAATGTGAACTAATGTGGTTCATAGATAAGTTGGTTATAGAATCAACCTAAAGCTGGGATAGGAGGTGATGTTCCAGTAATAATCTTCCTGTTTGAAACAGGAGGTGAGAACAGAAGGTAAAACATTCCTGGTCCTGTCAAATAAAAAATAATAAAGCAGATTAAAAAGCTTAGATGTTAAAAATATCAATCAGATTGTTACAAAGTTTTATATTCGATACGTTTTGGACAGAAAAGCACCTTCTGTTCTGGTCAGTGTTTCACACAGGAAGGTCAATAATGATCCTCCTGCTTCCATTTCATGTGCAAATAATCATCTGAAATCAATCAATTCAAACTGATATAATAAATTAGCGTTCTGATCAGCTTCTAGGATGTTGTTTTTATATTAGAATTGGATTAGATTAATCTTTATGTGTCATTAAATCTGCAGGCAGAATACCAACTGCTTATAACATTTCAACACGATGTTTCTTTAGAATAAAGGAAGGTGGTGGAGGTTTTATTTCCTCTAAAAAAAAATATTTACATGGAAAATAATTAAAACTGTTTAAGAATCCATTGAAAAACATCCCTGTAGTAAATTCTGCTGTAAACAAAATGTTCAACAATTTTCCAGGATCAGTCAATGGGACAAAGCTTCAGCTGTTTAGAAAAAATATGACTGTTTAACAAACAAACAAACAAACAAACAAACAAACAAACAAAACAATCAGCAATATTAAAGCTTTTGGCTTCCCACAAATACATTTATGTCCAAATATTTAAAATTGTTCATCCCTCAGAGGAAGCATAGCTCTAATGTTCATAACGAATGAGCAGCAACAGGTGGAGGAGAGGAAGCTGCCTTTGATGCAAAAACATCTAATTTAGGGTCTGCAGAAAAAAACATTTGGTCACTACTAATAAAATAAATCTAAATTCTAGAAAACATCATTCAATTCTATGCAGTTTATTTCTATAGCTCCAATTCACATCATGTCATCTCAGGTCACTTTCCAGTTCAACCAGATCATCCAGTCAGATTGATTCAAAGTTTTCTATCTAATGAAAACCAGCTGATTGCATCGACTCATTGACTCAGCAATTCAGCAATCCCTCACACTAAGCATG